TTGTAGTCTCTATTCACATGCTTATGCTTCATTACATCTTTTTGATATTTGTGGCTATCCTTTATTAATAAGTGGATCTTTTATACTTTTTTTTTACATTTACGCTTTCTCTTGATTTATTTATTAAGGCTTGTTAAGTTCAGTTGTCATCTGATATATATATTATATCTAAATTTTATTAATCTCTCAATGAGGATGTGTTTTTAACTATGTTCATGTGCTGTACAAATCTTTAAGCCTTATCCGTTTGAAAGGATGATTTCATATGGATTGTTGCATTGATTGGCTTGTTATATCTATTTATTGCTCAGATACCTGCAAGTGCTGTTACCTCAATTGTTGATGGCTTGAAGAGATTGTATATTGAAAAGCTAAAGCCACTGGAAGCTACCTATCGATTTAATGACTTCGTGTCTCCGCCATTGGTAAGTGCACTTTGCGTTAAGTTGTAACCAAATAGAAAACTGTGCAAACATGAACTGAATGGTCTCTCTGCAGAAACGGATGCATGTCTCTCCATGTGGAATGTCATGTACTGTTTGACTCTTTAATTAATTCAGTGAATTTACATGTGATTTTCTAAATGCAGACAGACAGCGACTTTGATGCTAAACCTATGGTTATGCTATTGGGTCAATATTCAACCGGGAAAACTACATTTATAAAACATTTGTTACAATGCGATTACCCAGGTAAGCTAAAAGCATTTATACCGCTTCGTACTTTCATATGATAAGTTGATCATCATGTTTACTGAGCTTTCCATCATCACTCTATTGACAGGAGCTCATATAGGTCCAGAGCCAACAACTGATAGATTTGTTGTTGTAATGGTATGTAAAACCATGTCCGAACTTTCTGGTTCCAAAAGTGAATTATTTGGATCCTTTGTTTATTTTCTTACACCAAGCGATAGCGTTCAGATGGATGGAAATAAAGATATGCATTGTTTCTTATAACACATTTGATTTCATGTTCTATTAATCTCAGTCTGGACCTGATGAAAGGAGTATACCCGGCAACACTATTGCTGTTCAAGCAGATCTGCCATATGGTGGATTGACCACTTTTGGAGGAGCCTTTTTATCAAAATTTGAGTGCTCTCAAATGCCACATCCAGTGAGTATTATTGATTCGATTTTCTTCGTTCTCCGTGCCAATTAATATACCAGGCTTTTTCACCGATGTTTTTATTATTGTTGCAGTTGTTGGATCAGATAACATTTGTGGACACTCCTGGTGTTCTATCCGGAGAAAAACAGAGAACACAACGAAGTTACGATTTCACCGGTGTTATATCGTGGTTTGCGGCTAAATGTGATCTTATTCTTCTTCTATTCGACCCTCACAAGTTAGACATAAGCGATGAATTCAAACGAGTAATTTCATGTTTACGTGGTAACGATGACAAGATCCGTGTTGTTCTAATTAAAGCACACCAAGTTGATACTCAACAAGTATGATACTCTCTTCTATCTCTTTATATGTATACTTTTGTTACAACAAAATTTGGCACAATTCATTATAACTCATCAATGTAATCTTTTTAGCTGATGAGAGTTTATGGAGCTTTGATGTGGTCTCTTGGAAAAGTTCTGAACACTCCGGAGGTTGTCCGTGTTTACATTGGGTAAGTTTATTTTCCCGGAAAAAGTTATCATACTTGACAGTTTTTGATGATTTTAATTTCTGTTTGTAGCTCTTTCAATGATAAGCACAATAACGAGGCTGCTATCGACGAATTGGGGCTAGACCTTTTTGAGAAAGAACAAGACGATCTTCTCAAGGACTTGTTAGACATTCCGCGAAAGGCTTGCGATCGTCGGGTATGTTTATATGCTCTTTGTTTCTACATTGCCGATGTACTCGTTTGGTAATCCGTATGCATATTTAGTTATGCACATATGCTCGTATCCTTGTGTGTTTAGTTATTCCGTGTGCATATGATGCCAGATCAATGAATTTGTGAAGCGTGCTAGAGCAGCAAAAATCAATGCTTATATAATTAGCCATCTCAAGAAGGAGATGCCTAGTATGATGGGCAAAGCTAAAGCCCAACAACGACTTATTGATAATCTTCAAGATGAATTTGCGAAGGTATTGTATCCATTTGCTCCTTTCTCGATTAATGAATTCTATAACCTAACTAACTAATTTAACAGACTTCCGAAAATTGGTCTGTCGAGTCGGTTACTCGGTTTTATTGATAATCAACAAGGATTGCTTTACATGACTATCTTGAAACAGGTTCAACGTGAGTACCATTTGCCGGCAGGTGATTTCCCAAGTGTTGAGCACTATAGGGAAGTGTTGAATAATTACAGCATCGATAAATTTGAAAAACTGAAACCGAAGATGATTCAAGCCGTCGATGATATGCTAGGATATGAAATTCCCGAGCTCTTGAAGAATTTTAGGAATCCCTACGAATGATATGTAAGTGATTCCCCTGCCCCCACCACCTAAAAATGAACTTATATACTTCTATTGGTGATATTCCCTTTTCATGTGAACATAAGTAATGTGTTTACCTTCGCTTTAAAGGGGCTTTTTAAAGCTTGTTTCATCAGATCTTGTCATGTTTGTGCAGTTTTACTTGTTGAGGTTCATTTTTGAACCTATTTTCAGTGTTCTTTGATCTTAAGAACTAGTAAGGGCAAAATAATGATTTTTTTTTTGTAGTCGATTATTGAATCAAACTCTCGGGTCAGGTGGCTGTGCTGAGTTCCATCTTCTTCGCCATGGATAACCTTGGATTTAATTATGGTTATAATACATTTCAGGTCATTAAAAATTACTAGTTTCATTACATTTAGGCCATTTTTTTCTCTGAGTTATAGTTTAATTACTTAGTTAAAAATTATTACAAACTTGTTATTTTACAATAGATTGTAGTTATTCACCAATTAATTGATCTGATCGGCCTGTTTAATTTGTCAGTATAATAAAAAATGATTAAATTGATAAAATTTTTAAATATGATAAATTTTAAAGACCAAAATTATTATTTTATCAATTATATTAGACATTAATCTTAATTTTAACAAAGGAGTGATTTTATACTGAACTGAAGAGTAACATGGTCAATCAAAATAAAAAAAAAATTGAGTAACATGGGGTGAGGATCTACAATTGGTTTAGACAAGCAAACAGCCTGGCTGATGCATTGGTAAAAGGTGGTGGTGGTCGCAGCTCCATTTGGGTGAACTCAGTTTTCTAATTGTCATACCTTGCTGCCTGCTTGAATTATAGTATTATAGGTTAGGTTAGGGTATCTGTCAAATTCAATTTGATCCGAAAATCTGATCTGATTTATCTTTGAATAGATTTTATTTAATTTAAATTCGATTTAAATTTTAAAATAAAAACTCACATTAGATTCAATTTAATGAAGATATGAAATGTTTTCATTTTTGTTTAATAGAATAAGAACTTTATTGAAAAAATATAAAGAAAAATGTTTTATAGTACAAATCACATTATTATGATTTTACTACAATATCATTTTGCTGTAATAGAATTGGATTAAACTAGTAGTGATATATTATTTAATTGGCAACCCATACAAAGCTCCAAATTAGAGGTTAGTAAAACAGGTTGGAAAGATATATATATATATATAGTCCACTATGGCGTCTGATTATTTATCTACAAAAATGAGAGTAGGTAACGATATATGTTTTAAAAACAAGTTATATTGAACATTGTAATGGAATCAAATCATAAAAGAAATAAATCCATAAAAAAGCACATGATACAACCACCTTCGGTGCTTCTTTTTTTGTTTGCTTACGCCCGCTTGTTCAATATCCAACACCTTCATCATGCATTTCTAGCTGTCATTTTAGAAGTCAAATAAAATAAAAATAAAAACAAAAAAGAATACGAAATTGTCGCTTTCTTAAGATATACTATGTTTGGAAGAGTGAATAATAATAATAATAATAATAATAATAATAATAATAATAATAATAATAATAATAATAATAGGAAGAAGAAGAAAAATATATTATAAATAGAGGTAAGTAAATGATCATATATATATTAACTATATATTTAATATAAAAGATAATACATATATCTACATTCAACACTATAATTCAGAGATGACTTCAATATAAGATTTAATAGTTTAATTATATTTTATTTTTAAAATAAAATATTTTTTAATATTTTCAAAATATAATATAATTATATTAATTTTTTTCTCCCGATTTTTTAGGACTTTGTTCTGATTAATCCATATTGACTTGTGTCGCACATCTTAAGCCTCGAACAGGAGACATACTTAAGTGATATCAAACTGTTTACTACAAGATAATATATGTTTATATTTTTTCTTATTCATTGACAACACATATAAACCTTGTATACATAATTATTCAAATCCAAAATATATATGCCATTTTTCTCACTATGCCATTCAATAGATTCATAAGCTTTCAATTCTAAATCTATTGTTTCGTCAATATATTTATGTTTACTTTTAACTTTTAAATAAATTCAGTTAAAAATAACTCTTTATTTTTGTTTTCAATTTTATACGATTTTTTAATTAAAACAACAAAAATAATTATTTGATAATCAAACATTATCAATATTTTTTTTGGTATAACCACCGATATCTGATCTATAGATCAATTAATCTGGATCTAGTACTACAGAGACAAAAGCGACCCTTCCAACCCAGTTTACTCCAATCGCAATCCTCATGATTCAAACACCTGATCTTACTTAAAAGATCTAATGTCTCATCCCACTAAATCAATAATTATCAATATATTTATGTGGAAATCATATAATCAATAATTATTTGTTAAATTAATTTTTTAACCTAAAATGTTTTTCTTTACAACAACCAAAACGATTTGGATTTCATACATTTAAATATAAATCCAAGAACAAATAAATAATTAATTAAAAAATGGCGGCCTAGTTACTGTGAGGACTAGTATATAAAGGGGAGACAGATAGAACTCTTCAATTCATCGCAAATGTTTTTCTGAATTTACGAAACGGAGAAACTCTTCGGTCTTCATCGTCGTTTTTTCTGAATTTAGGAAAATGGAGAACAAAGTAGCAGCAAGAAGATTTGAAGGCAAAGTTGCGATTGTAACTGCTTCGACTCAAGGCATCGGTTTTGGCATCGCGGAGCGCCTTGCTCTGGAAGGTGCCTCGGTCGTCATCTCCTCTCGCAAGCAGGTCTTTTAATAATTTCAATCTTCTCTGTGTTGGATGGTAAATGATGCTGAGGCAATCATAATTACAGTTGATGGAGCTTATTAATTGGAATATAGTCCTTTGTTAAATCGGCTGTTGTTTTATCTGTTCTTGTATTTGATGATTGAAGTTTTGAGCTTAGTTTCTCTTGAATTTGAGAGTCTGTGGAATCAGAATTCGTCAAGATATTTATATGAATGATTGTGATCAAATCTGTAATTAACAGGATTTGCTTCATCTTTTATTAATTATTTATGCCGCCGTGGTCGCTGCTTTACTTTGCAAAAATAGCGGCGAAACATTCCGACCATACTTACAGTTGATGGAACTTCTTAATTGGAAATTAGTGTGTTTTTCTCTTGATTTATTTGTACTGTTTGATTTGTTTTTGATATGATGATGGATGTTAGTTATATTTTTGAGCTTCATACTTGTAGAAAAACGTCGACGAGGCCGTTGAAAAGCTTAAAGCTAAAGGAATAAATGTCTTCGGAGTCGTTTGCCATGTTTCCGATGCGCAGCAGAGGAAGAATTTAATCAACGCCACCGTCGAGGTTAGTTAATGAAAACCTTGAATTCTATATTATCGTTGAAAACAAATCAATAATAAACTTGAGAACTCGATCATTTCCCTTTGATCTCTTCAGAATTTAACAACTCGTTAAACGGTAATAAAAGAAAATATTATATTTTATAAAAATTTTAAGTTCGAATTATTATGTCTACGATAAATAAAGACAAAATCAAGATAAAGATGCTTTGGTCTTACCCTATGATTAAACAGTTTAATTGGATTTGAGTCCCTAAAATCAATCAAGTACACTAAAAATTATTCAACTTTAAAAATTATAAAATAATTATTAAATTTTTTGAATGATATAGATAGCGGCCATTTTATAATACTTTAATAAATTTAATGATCATTTTGAAACTTTTGAGGGCCGATGATTAAAATGATAATTTTAACATAGTTTAGTGGCTTTTACTGTAAATGGGAAATTAGTTATTTGCTCCTTTTAAAAACCAAAATTCAATTTTAAACAACAAAGCTGAATCCTTTGAGTAATTGGTATGCATAACAATTAACATTGTATATGTTGTTGGTTTCAGAAATATGGAAAAATAGATGTGATTGTATCAAATGCCGCTGTAAATCCGGTAAATGTACCGCTGCTGGAAACCAAAGAATCTATCCTCGACAAGTTATGGGAAACAAACGTCAAAGCATCCATACTTCTGCTCAAGGTAATTAAGAGCTCACAAAGAAGATTAATGTTAACAAAATAGCCTTAATTACCATAGCTTACTCTCATAATTACATAGTGGTTTGATGTGTACAGCCATATGTTTCCGTTGTATAATTGCAGGATGCAGCTCCCCATCTGAAGAAAGGTTCATCGATTATTTTTATTTCATCATACGGTGGTTATCAACCTCAGCCTTCTATGGCCATGTACGGGGTTACTAAGACCGCCCTTCTTGGTCTCACCAAGGTAAGTTTTTATACACTTCTTTTCCTAAACAATCAATCTTTCAAAAACATTTTTCAATCATAGGGACAAGATTATACTATTTTTAAAAATACTTTTCAATCACAATTAGGACAGAGCTATGTGTAAGTGGGAAGGGCCATTATTCCCCCCCGCCCCACAAAAAACAAACATTGGGTTTAACTATTTTTAGGCCCTTCATTGTTTTTAAGTTTGGTAAATTAAGTCTTATCCTTCTAATTTTTCGGTTTAAATAATTTTTATTTTTAAAATTTTTTAAATTAAATAAATTAAAATTTATATTTATCTTTCTGAAATTTTATTCTGACTATAATGATATTGCTAATCTAGCTGTGTTGGTTGATCCTTTGTCAGGCTCTGGCGGCTGAGTTGGCCCCAAATGTCCGAGTCAACGCCATAGCACCTGGTTTCGTACCAACCCGATTTGCAGCTTTCGTAACAGCGAACGAAGCCACGGTAAGATGATTTTTCTTATAGAAATAAGATTACACAACATCATTTGAGTGAAAGTGAAGAATGTCGTACCTTGTCACTGAAACTCGAGTGCGGGGATTTTGATGCAGAAAAAATCCTTTGAGGATATAACGCTATTGAAAAGACTAGGCACACCAGAAGAAATAGGAGCTGCGGCTGCTTTCTTAGCTTCGGATGACGCTTCTTACGTTACAGGGGAAATCTTAATCGTGGCCGGAGGAACGGCTTCGAGGCTCTAGTTCCTTGCACAACACAAACATGTCTGTAGCCGGGTTTCAATGGAATCTGTTATTTAGTAATTTCCTGATGCCATTTTTACATGTCATCTGACGTGGAACAACTTCAGACAAATAAAATAGGCATTAGCTGTATTTGGGTTATTTCCCTTTCATATATTTACAAATTTGGTTTGTGATGCTTTTCAATGGCTTTCGGGTTTTAATTATACATTTTTTTTTTCTAGTGATTAAAAAGTTTATCACTTTCGAACCAAGCAATCACGAGACACCCTTGAGAATCTCTGCTTTGAATTCATCTTTCTGCTGCTAAACCACCTTTACATGCCTTGAGAAATCTGCACCCTTTTCTCTGCATTTCCAAAACACCATGAATTCGCTACCAATAACCGGAATTACTTGATGATCTCTTTGATTTCATCGTTTTTTTTTCCTGAGAAATTCATGAAACTCATTCTTCTGCAAATCCCATGTTTTTGAACCGGTTCATGAAGTTCCTCAAATCAATCCACACATTCAGAAGGAAGATACCTTTCGATTGTCTATTTTGACACTAAACAGACATTTACCCTTTTAGGTCCATATCACAAAGCGAAAAGCTTTACAATGGGAACCTCATGTTTCCATTCGTTTCGCCTTCGAAAATCTAGGAGCAAACACCTGCCGCAATTCCCATCATCGTCTTCATCGAAGAAACAGATGAATCCCGACATGGTGAACATGGAGAAGAGGAGATTCGATAGCTTGGAGTCGTGGTCGATGATTTTGGACTCGGAGAATGTAGAGACGTGGGAAGTTTCAAAGGAGGATCAAGAGGAGTGGACTGCTGATCTTTCTCAATTGTTTATAGGCAACAAATTCGCCTCCGGTGCTCATAGTAGAATCTATCGTGGAATTTATAAGCAGAGAGCTGTTGCTGTAAAAATGGTGAGGATCCCAAACCAAAATGAGGAGACGAGATCGAAACTCGAACAGCAGTTCAAGTCTGAAGTAGCTTTGCTCTCACGGTTGCTTCACCCCAATATAGTTCAGTTCATTGCTGCTTGTAAGAAGCCGCCTGTGTACTGCATCATCACAGAATACATGTCACAAGGGACTCTGAGGATTAACAAGAAAGAGCCGTACTCGCTCTCGACGGAGACGGTATTGAGATTAGCCCTCGACATATCTCAGGGAATGGAGTACCTTCATTCAAAAGGTGTGATCCATAGAGACCTCAAATCGAACAATCTTCTGCTAAACAATGAAATGAGGGTTAAGGTGGCGGATTTCGGTACGTCGTGTCTTGAAACACAGTGCCTTGAGACTAAAGGAAACATGGGAACGTACCACCGGATGGCACCCGAGATGATTAGGGAGAAACCGTATACTCGGAAAGTCGATGTGTATAGCTTCGGGATCGTGTTATGAGAGCTCACTACATGCTTGCTTCCCTTCCAAGGAATGACCCCTGTGCAAGCTGCTTTTGCCGTGGCTGAAAAGGTATTACACATAAAAGCTTGTTCCTCTATGCTTAACCTTATGATGCAGCTCCTCTAAAGTCGGTAATCTTTTCGGCAGAACGAACGGCCTCCGTTGGCCGAGAGTTGTCAGCCGCCACTTGCACACCTCATTAAGCGCTGCTGGGCAGCGAACCCCTCAAAGCGGGCGGATTTCTCCGACATCGTTTCCACCTTGGAGAAGTACGACGAGTGTGTAAATGAGGGCCTTCCGTTAACTTCGCACTCTAGACTGGTCAGCCGAAATGCCATTCTCGAACGATTAAAGGGATGTGTGGCTATGAGCTCATCATCTATACCTGTACAGCCTTGAATCTTTCCTCTATGATCAAGATTGCTTCATAATAATTTGTACATATTTGATGTTTTTTAAATCATCCGAGGCTGCTGGTGGCGGATTAAAAGTGAGTTTACACAATGATTTAGGGTTTGAACTAATTATTCTATTGTTCTAACTGATTCTATTGAAAACAATATGTGAAACCAAGACCTTCCCTGTGATTCATCAACAAGGGAACCTTGGATTCCCTTGGTATAAATGATACTGTCGTTTACTATGGTTAACTGAACTGAATGAATATTCTTTGTTTTCTTTAAAGAAAACCCTAATAATTGGTAAACATGCAGATTTAAACATTTGATTTTTACTAATTTTTTCTATATAAATTGTTTAACTATTGATTTTCAGGTCAGCCATTCAACAGCGCAATTTGATAGACTTCTCCACAAATTAAAGGATTGACTTTGCAATTTTCACAAAAAAGGGATGAAATTCAAATTATTCCTTTTTATTTTCAAAAAATGGAAACCTTTGAGGTGTCTTCATTTTATGGTAAACTACACCATTGGTGACCATATTAGTATCCCTCTCCTATTTTAGTTACCATCCTATTTAATACATAATTGATCACTAATATTACATTTTTTTTATATTTTGATCATTCACCGTTTAATATTTATAAGAGAAAGCGATGTGGTGTGGCATACTAACTGTTCTAGTCTTCCAAATTTATACATTCTATCGATCTTATAGGAGAAAATTAATGAAAATATTTAACGGGAAAAATGACCAAAATAAGGGGAAAACATAATGTTAGTGACCAATTATGTAGAAGAAATAGTATGGTGATCAATGGTGTGATTTATCCCTGATTTTATTATTAGGTCTTTTGAGGTTAGATTTCAGAAACGCGTGAGTTCCTAACGATTTCCTTCCACTTGTAATATTGTGAAGGGAAGACAAAGGGGAAAAAAGAGATGAAACATTAGGGTTTGGTTCTTTGAACGAGATAAAAGATGTCACATGCATGCAACTCTTTAACAAAGTAAAATTAAGATAAGAACCCTTCTTTTCACGTGCATACCACTGATGGGACATATACATGCACGTACATCTTACCTGTGGATTAATGATGTTTTTGAGTTTTTCTGTTGCGGAGACAACGATTGAAACGCGGCTGCCCGACACCGGGAAGCCTGAATTTGGGCCACAAGTTCAAAGCCATAATGTCAAGAAAAAAGCTATGTTGATTACTTAGATCATCGTCAAATACCTGTAAGGTACGCACTAGCTTGACTTTGTTCAATCCGGGTGTATTTGTATTTCTTCTTTCTTCCCTCTCGCTTCCCAGTTTCCACTGCCCTCCCTCACCCCATTTTCCCCCTCTCGTCCCCGTTACTATGATATTATTGTGTCCCGACGAACTTAAAATCCTTTATGATGGAATCCTTATATTACATTACGGTCGTAATTTAATACTATCTTGATGATACTAACCATGTTTGGTTATTAATCAGTCAATCTGCCTTATTTGGCATATACCAACTAGCTTGAAAAGTACAGTAAGTCGATTGGACCGATGATATTTGTTTCCCTTTCCTTGTTTGAACTTCTGAAACACGTGTTGAGTCTATTAGCCGAGGAAGCAAGGAGATATTTACTATTTCAGTCATTTATCGAATGGTTGTTCTAATATGTTCTTCTCTTCCACCTTGAAGATGATGTATGCCAAGAACCTGAACCTACTTGCCTTTATGTGTAAAATGACGGTTTTTTTTTAATGTTTCCATGATATTTTCTCCATATCTTGCTTGTTACTGCCATTTATTTCATTTGGTTGCTCTCCTATATATGCACTAATTTATACTCTATGTTCACAGAGGCGAGGCCTGTTCCGGCTATTGTAAACGAATGATGACCAAATCTGCCGAAGTCCTTTGTTTTGTTGGGCAATATCAGTCATCTTGCCTTCTTGTTTTACTTTTGGTTCGATTTTCTGAGCAATTGAATTGTTCAAACATTATCTGTTTTGGAAATTTGTAATATGATAGTAATTTGATAACAATGTTTCTTTCTTCCCTCACTTTCCAAGGGTTTTAACTCAAAGCCCTACAAGCATAGGCTACCCTACCAATGTCATCAAGAATTTGTCCTATTAAATCTCTAAGAAAAACGCTTTAATCAAGAAGGCTGATGTCTACTTATCATCGCATCTATTTGCTGAAACCACCTGCAAGGCTATACTCAATCATGCCAAACTGCTACTCTATTTCGCTCTTTCCAATTGTCCATTGCGATTTGTTTTTGAATCAGACTCGCCATCGTGTGCCGTTCAACCCAATCTCAAATCCAATGTGCTTTCATTCAGATCTTGCCGCACTATTTTATTATCCTCTTGAGACAGAAATTTCGGGTTAAACCTTCTCTATGAATCAGTGCAATGAGATGCCATGTATCATTCATGTTTTACGTTTTAGTTTCTTACAGAACTCAAACGACAAGGACCTGCAGGTCCTGTCCCAATCCCCCCAGCCCCTCCTTTCAAATTACTGAATGAGTGTTTGCTGCTCACCTAACTTTCATCCATTGGTGCGTCGTTAATGTCAGGTTTCTCGTGAAAACCATCATTCCTGGAAGTTGTCTCTGTTGGGGAAATCGAATTATTTCCCACACGAACGTAGTTTCAAAATTGACCTAAAATGTCAAGATCAAAACCACCAAAGGTTGCACAGCGGATAAACCTATCAAACTAATGAATATTGAAACACAATGGAAAAAACCGAATAAAAACAATAAAGGAGAGAACACACCAAATTTACGAGGTTCGACGAGAATATCGTCTACTCCTCGGGCACCACACCGAATGATAACTTCACTATATCGCCAATATTACAACAAATGGAATTCTTTAGAATTCCCAAAGTGGGAGAATGAAGAATACAAGAGGAAGAGAGAACGTGTTCTGGGATGATTTCTAATTAAAGACTTATGCCTATTTATAGTTGAGTTTTAAGGACTAAACTTATAAATAACCTAATATTTTAGGGATCAAACATGAAAAATAAGTTGGCAACCTACCAAAGAATTTTCCAATGTGTACAAGTTAGCCACCAAATATGAAATTCTCATATTCAAAGTTTGGCCACAAACCAAGATGAAATTTCCAATAAGTTGGCCACCAACCAAGATGAAATTTCCAACTTGCCAACTTAATTTCAAGCCAAATCTAACAAATCTCCACATTGGCTTGAAATCACCAAGCCCACTCAACTTCTTCAACTCCACAAATTTGTAATGCCTCTAATTGCGCTCACAAGCGCCACACACCCGAAGATGTTCATACTTTCAGGATGTTAATCAAGTTCAAACAAAGATTGAACTTGATTACTGTTACCACCTTGGTCATCATATCTGCAGGATTTTCTGATGTCACAATTTTCTGAAGTAGAATCTTTCCTTCATCAAAGATCTCCTGCACAAAGTGATACCTCACGTCGATATGCTTAGTCCTTGAATGATAGACTTGATTTTTCGCTAAGTGAATAGCGCTCTGACTGTCACAATAGAGACTAATGTGACTTTGAACAACTCCCAAGTCTTCCATCAACCCGTTAAGCCAAATTGCTTCCTTTACAGCCTCTGAAACTGCCATGTATTCTGCCTCTGTAGTAGACAAGGCCACCGTAGATTGCAATGTAGACTTCCAACTTACTGGGCTTTAGCAAGAGTAAACAAATACCCAGTAGTTGATCGACGCTTATCCAAATCACCAGCATAATTAGAATCAGCATATCCAACCACACACTGACCAAGAGCTTCATCATGTTCAAAAACTAAACAAACATCCACGGTTTGTTGGAGATACCGTAGAATCCATTTCACAGTTTGCCAATGTCCTTCTCCAGGATCATGCATGTACCTGCTCACAACTCCAACTACTTGTCAAATGTCAGGACGCGTATACACCATTGCATACATCAAGCTCCCAACTGCATTAGCATATGAAACGTTTGCCATATACTCTCGTTCTTCGTTAGTTTTAGGAGATAATTGAGAACTAAGTTTCAAATGAGAAGCCAGTGGGATACTTACATGTTTGGTATTTTCATTCATGCCAAAACAGTGTAACACCATTCTCAGATACTGCTTTTGTGTTAAACAAAGCTTCCCTCTCTGTCTATCTCTGCTTATCTCCATACCAAGAATCTTCTTGGCCTCACCTAGATCTTTCATCTCAAACTCTTGATTCAATTGACCCTTTAATTTGTCTATCTCCTTTTGACTCTTCGAAGCGATCAACATATCGTCAACGTACAAGAGAATATAAATGAAAGATCCATCTTTGAGCTTTTGCAAATACACACAATGATCATATTTTCTTCTATTGTACTTTTGCCTCCTCATAAAGCTATCAAATCGCTTGTACCACTGCCTCGGAGATTGCTTCAATCCATATAGCGATTTGTTCAGCTTACAAACCCATTTGTCATGACCACTATCTTTGTATCCTTCTGGCTGAGTCATATAGATCTCCTCTTCTAAATCACCGTGCAAGAAAGCCGTCTTTACATCAAGTTGAGCTAGCTCCAAATTCAACTGTGCTACCAAGGCCAATAATATTCTAATGGAGGAATGCTTCACAACAGGGGAAAATACTTAATTGTAGTCGATTCCCTCCTTTTGAGCGTAGCCTTTAGCTACCAACCGTGCCTTGTAGCGAACATCTTTCTTGCTATGAGATCCATCTTTCTTTGCAAATACCCAACTTGCATCCAATTGCTCTTTTACCTTTTGGTAATTGAGTCAGTTCCCAAGTGTTGTTCTTTTGGAGATATTGCATTTCTTCATCCATGACACTTTTCCACTTATCACTTTCCAAGCTTTGTATTGCTTCTCGATAAGTAACAGAGATATCATCATCAACAACTGGAAGAGCATAGGACACCATATCAACAAATCGAGCAGGTCTACGAATTTCTCTCCTTGGCCTTGTAACTGCAAGTGGTTCTGGTATCTCCAATGGTTCTTGGGTTTGAACCTCTTCATCTTCTGATTCTTCTATTGGAGTTGAAGAATCAGCTGCATCAACTTCTGGGATCATCGTCTGCTGAAACTCCACCTGTTTTGGAGTATGCTCCACTTGCTGTGGAGTACTACTTGTCTGGACAGCTTCATTTGTTACATTCTTTACTAGGGCAGATTCATTAAAGGTAACATCTCTGCTACAAATTATCTTCTTGGTGTCTAAACACCAAAGGTAGAATCTCTTCACTCCATGGGTGATTCCCATAAAGAGAGCCTTATTTGCTCTCGGATCAAGCTTGGATTCCTTCACATGATAATAGGCAGTGGATCCAAATACATGTAAGGAATCATAATCAGTAGCAGGTTTTCCAGACCATACCTCCAATGGTGTTTTTCCTCCTATCGCTGATGACGGCAGACGATTGATGAGATGGCCAGCATATGTCACAGTCTCAGTCCAAAATGCCTTGCCTAACCCAACATTAGACAACATACATCGAACTTTCTCCAATAGTCTTCGATTCATACGCTCTGCCACCCCATTCTGTTGTGGTGTATTTCTAACAGTGAAGTGTCCAACAATACCATACTCATGGCAAACGTTAAAGAATGGGTCACTTTTATATTCCTCTCCATTATCCATCCTAAAACGTTTGATCTTTCTACCAGTCTGGTTCTCGATCATATTTTTCTATTTCAGGAAAATTTGAAGCACTTCATCTTTAGACTTCATCGGAAACACCCAAACTCTTCTGGAAAAGTCATATACAAAAGTTACAAAATAATGGTTTCCTCCCAAAGACGATGTCTTTGAAGGACCCCATACATCTGAGTGAATATAATCCACAATACCTTTTGTATTATGTATAGTGGTGCCAAACTTCACTCTCTTCTGTTTTCCTAGGACATAATGCTCGCAAAAGTTCAATTTGCAAGTCTTTGCACCTTTCAACAATCATTTCTTTGCCAGAATTTGCAAGGATTTTTCTCCAGCATGTCCCAACCTTATATGCCACAACTGGGTTGCGTCCAAATCATCACATCCGGAAGCTGTTGTAACTGCTCCAATAATTGTACTACCTTGATAGTAATACAAATTATTTTTTCTGATGCCCTTCATCATCACAAGTGCGCCATATGTGACTTTTAAAACTCCATCTCTCATAGTGACTACTGAGCCTTTGGATTCCAAGGCTCCCAACGAGATGAGATTTTTCTTCAAACTAGGCACGTATCGGACATCCGTCAGAACTCTGGTTGATCTATCTTGATTCTTCAATCGAATTTAACCTATCCCAATAGTTTTACAGGCATTGTCATTGTCCATATAAACAACTCCTGCAATTAATTCTACTAAATCGGAGAACCACTCCCCGATTAGGGGACATATGATAGGTGTAACCCGAATATAATATCCATTCATCTGAATGGAATGTTGTTGATGAAGTAACCAATGATATGTCAGAGTCATTTGCATCATGCTCTGCAACACATGCATCTAGAGCAGCTTTTCCTTTCTTCTTCAGCTTCGGACAATCTTTCTTCCAATGGCCTTTCTCATGACAAAAGACACATTCATCTTTTCCCAGTGTGGACTTCGACTTTGATCTCCCTGTCCACTTTGGCTTTTGACTTTTCGAGCAACCTCTTGCCACCATGGCCTCCGCTGCTTCGTACTTGCTCTCCTTCTTGGTTTTCTTCTTGAGCTCATAACTATACAAAGCAACAATTATATCTTTAAGGGTAACATTATCCTTACCATGAAGTAACGTTGTCTCAATGTGCTCAAATTTATCTGAAAGAGATGACAACAACATCAAGGCCAACTCTTCATCTTTGAAGGTTTCATCCATACCCAATAAGTCTGCCACTAGCTCATTGAACGCAGTGATGTGTTAATTCATACTGGTGCATGGTAGATATTCAATTCTGAACAATATTTTCTTCATGTGGAGACGATTTTGAGAACTT